CGCATTTCATCAAGAAATTCCTAAAGTAAAACACGAACCTGAAGAAAACCATCAAATTGAACGAAAATTAAGCACCGAACAAGTCATCGTCGAATCTCCACAACTTAGTGAACATGAACAAGAAGAAGATCAATATGATGGTTTTCTTCAGGTTCGTGTTTTACTTTAGGAATTTCTTGATGAAATGCGATCGGAACTGCTGCCAAGATTGAACTTAGTTCATATTGAGCTTCTTCGGTTATTCCAGAAGATTCAAGAACAACTTGATCTTCACTAAGTTTTCGCTGATGCTGATATTGTTCTTCTTCTTCTTCTTCGTGATCACTTTCATGAGGTGATTCTATCTGAACATCGGCATCAGTTGATTTTCGCTCGATTTCATATTCATCTCGTTTATGGACTTCACTAGCTGGCTTTTCTGTTTCCAACTGTTCTTCATCATGACGTCTTTCTTCTTCTTGTTTGAATATTTCCGGAGATTCAATAACAATTTTATCAGTGGTTAATTTTTCTTCAAATTCATCTTGATCTTCTTTTTCGTCTGAGTATGAAGTGCGTAATTCAGGAGATTCAATGAGTTCTCGGTCAAAAGTGAGTAGTGCTTCATGACGATCTTGTTCAAATGTTACAGTAGGCTTGCTTTGAATTTTGTCTGAACTTGTTAGTGATTCCGATTCATATTGATCTTCTTCTTGTTCATGTTCACTAAATTGAGGAGATGCAACTGTGACTTGTTCAGTACTTAACTTTCGTTCAATTTGATAATCTTCTTCGGGTTCGTGTTTTACTTCTTGAATTTCTTGATGAAATACAACTGGAATTGTTGTCAAGATAGAACTTAGTTCATATTGGGGTTGTTCGGTTATTGAAGAAGATTCAAGAATGGCTTGTTCATCACTATGTTTACGCTCAGGTTGGTATTGCTGTTCTTCTTCTTCCTCTTCATGATCACTTTCATGAGGCGATTCTACGTGAATATCGACACCAGTTGGTTTTTGTTCGATTTCATATTTATATGATTCATGAATTTCACTGGCTTCACGTTCTGTTTCAAATGGTTCTTCATCATCGTGTTTTTCTTGTTCTTTGACTGTTTTTGGAGATTGAAGAACAAATTCATCAGTTGTCAATTTTTCTTCAGGTTCATAGTGATATTTTTCCTCATGCGTTTGTAAAGTGTCGACTTCAAGAGGTTCGAAAAATCTTGGTTGAGAAATTTGTAATGGTTTCTCATCTTCTTTCTCTTGTGGTACAGGAGGTTCAATTTTAATGTTATCTGAACTTGTACTTAGTCTTGGTTCATATATAACTTCTTCTTGTTTCTGTTCATGAACTTCTTCGGATCCAGTGATATTTTTTATAGTGGTTAACATTCGTTGAATTTCATTAATTTCTTCTAGGCCTTGTTCTTCTTTTTGAATTACTTCGTGATATTGATTTAAAATATGTTCAAAGATCAATGTTGGTTTGTATTGATCTTCTTCATTTTCTCCAGAAGATTCAACAATGACTTGATCTACACTACGTTTTCGCTCAGGTTGAACTTGTTCTTGTTCGTGATCACTTTCAGGAGGTGATTCTAAATGTACATCCGAAATAGTTGATTTTTGTTCAATTTCATATTCTTCTAATTGACGAGTTTCACCGAATGGTTTTTCGTGTTTCCATGGTTGTTCATCATGGTATTCTTCTTCTTCGACTTTTCTTGGAGACTCAATTATTATTTCATCACGGATTAATTTTTCTTCACCCATATGTTGAGTGTCGATGTCAGAAGGTTTGACGAATTGTTGTGCGGAACTTTCTAATGATTCCAAACGATCTTCTTCAAGTGTTACAGGAGATTCAATGGAAATCTTCTCTGAACTTGATAAAGATTCTGGTTCATATGGTTCTGTTTCATATTTTTGTTCATATTGATCTTCTTCTTGTTCCTGTTTATAAAGCGCAACAGATCCAGTTATGACCTGTTCACTAGTTAATATTCGTTGCATTTCATCAATTTCTTCTAGTTCTTGTTTTTCTTTTTCAATTACTTGGTGATATTGATTTAAAACATGTTCTAAGCTCAATGTTGGTTCATATTGATCTTGTTCAAATTTTTCCTTGGATTCAATAACGACTTGATCAGCAGTAAGTTTTCGCTCAGGTACCTGCTTTTCTTGCTCTTCTTTATGATCAATTTCATGAGGTGATTCTAAATGAATATTTTCATCACTTAATTTTCGTTCAAGTTCATATTCGTCTTCTTCATGAGTTTTACTGGCTTCGGTTTCAAATTGTAATGATTCTTGATCATGATGTCTCTTTTCTTCTTCATGTTGATCTTTTTGGTCGCCTACGTGTAATATGCTGACTTCAGGAAATCTGATGTATTGTTGTGTAGAAGTTTCTAATGGTTCAAAATGATCTTGTTCAGCTATTTCCACAGTTTCAATTTCCATCTTGTCTTGACTTATCATAGATGGTGACTGATATTGCCTAGTTTCATATTTCGACTCATATTCATCTTCCTCTTGTTCGTGTTCACTTAGTTCTGAAAATCCAGTAATGTCATGTTCAGTACTTAAATTTTGTTCAATTTGATAATCTTCTTCAGATTCTTGTTTAACTTCTTCACTTTTTTGAGGAAGTGCAATCGAAACCGCTTCGAAACTTGAACTTGGTTCATATTGTTCTTTTTTTTGCTCGTGATCACTTTCGTGAGACGATTCTGAATGAATATCCGCACTACTTGATTTTTGTTCGATTTCATATTCATCTTCTTCATGAGTTTCAAATGTTTCTTTTTCTGTTTCGAACAGTTCTTTGTCAGCATGCTTTTCTTGCTTCTCGGGTGTTTGTGGTGATCCGATAATATTCGTATCAATGGTTAATTTTTCTTCAGGTTCGTAATGATCTTCTTTTTCATCTTTTTGTTGAATCTCTACTTCAGAATATTTGATGAATTGTTCTTGAGAAGTAAGCAATGGTTCATGACGATCTTGTGCAGCTGTTTCAGTAGGTTCGATTTTTATCTTTTCTGAACTTGATATAGATTCTGATTCAAATATTTGTTCATATTGATCTTCTTCCTGTTCACGAAGGTCAGAAAATTCAGTGATGCGCTTTTCTAAGCTTAATTTTCGTTCAGGTTCTTCTTTTTCTTCGTCGAAAACTTGTTCTGGACTTAATGGTCGTTCATAATCTTTTTGTTCTTCTTCGTGTTCAATCCGTTGTGTGGATTCGATGATGGTTTTTTCTGAGCTTAGTTTTCGCTCTGATTGATATTGATCTTTGACTTCTATTTCTTGTGGTCTTGTTTCTTGAGAAGATACAAAATAAGCTGTTTGATCACGTGGTGATTGTTGAAATTCATCTTCTTCATCTTCCGATTCACTGAATTGAAGAAATTCGAGTTCAGTCTTTTGAGAACATAATCTTTCGTGTAATTCGTGCTGATCAACTGCTTCTGATTCTTCTAATTCGATATCTTCACGTGGTACAATCTTAGTTTGTTCATCGCTGTAATATCGTTCAAATTGTGACTTTTCATGTTCGATGATGTCAGGTGTTTCAACAATAACTTCATCAGTACCACAGATTTCTTCAGGTACTTGTTGTTCTTCCTCTTCTTCACGGTCACTTTCACGTAACGATTCTGAGGAAATATCCACATCAGTCGATTTTTGTTCGATCACATATTCATCTCTTGCATGAATTTCACGAGCCGGTTTTTCTGTTTCTGACAGTTCTTCATCATGCTGTGTTTTCTCTTCGTCTATTATTTCTGAAGATTCGATAACCTTCTTATCAGAAGATAATTCTTCTTCCGATTCATATTCATCCTTCTGTTCATCGCTGTATGCAGTGACTAGTTGAGCAGGTTCGATGAAATCTTGTGCAGAAGCTAGTAATAATTTATGTTGATCTTCTTCAACTGCTTCAGTAGGCCGGATTTGAATCTTGTCAGAACTTGTTATAGGTTCTCGTTCATATTGATCTTCTTCTTGTTCATGTTCACTAAGTTGTGGAGATTCGACGATGACTTGTTCGGTGCTTAATTTTCGTTCAATTTGATGGTTTTCTTCAGGTTCGTGTTTTACTTTAGGAATTTCTTGATGAAATGCGATCGGAACTGCTGCCAAGATTGAACTTAGTTCATATTGAGCTTCTTCGGTTATTCCAGAAGATTCAAGAACAACTTGATCTTCACTAAGTTTTCGCTGAGGTTGATATTGTTCTTCTTCTTCTTCTTCGTGATCACTTTCATGAGGTGATTCTATCTGAACATCGGCATCAGTTGATTTTCGCTCTATTTCATACTCATCTCTTTCATAAGTTTCACCGACTTCTGTTTCAAATTTCGATGGTTCTTGAGCATAATGTCTTTCTTCTTCTTTCTCTGTTTCCGAAGATTCAATAACATTCTTGTCAGCAGTTGATTCTTCTTCAGATGCATAATGATCTTTTCGTGTCTCTGTGTGTGCAGTGACTAATTCAGCAGGTTCGATGAAATCTTGTGCAACAGTTGGTAATGGTTGATGACGATCTTGTTCAACTGGTTCAGAACGCTCAATCTTGATCCCATCCGAACTTGTCATTGATTCTGGTTCATATTGATCTTCTTCTTGTTCATGTTCACTAAGTTCTGAAGATCCACTTGTCACCTGTTCGGTGCTTAACTTTCGTTCAATTTGATAATCTTCTTTTGATTCCTGTTTTACGTCATGTATTTGCTCATGAAATACAACTGGAACTTGTTCGAAGCTCGAAGCTCGTTCATATTGGTCTTCTTCGAGTTTTTCTTCAGATTCAAGAACGATTTGACCAGCGCTACCTTTTCGCTCAAGTTGAGCTAGTTCTTCTTCATGAGGTGATTCTAAGTGAATCATCGAAACCTTTGATTTTTCTTCGATATTATACTCATATAGTTCAGGAGTTTCACCGGCCGTTGCTTCGCGTTCTGGTGGCTCTTTCTCATGAAATGTTTCTTCTCCGTCAACTTTTCTTGAGTATTCAAAGATATTCTGACCGGGAGTTGATTTTACTTCAGATTCAGCGTGACCTTCTTTTTCTTCTGCGTATGCAGTCCGCAATTCAGGAGATTCGATGAGTTCTCGATCAGAACTTAGTAATTCTTCATGACCATGTTCTTCAATTATTTGACTAGGTTCGATTTCAATCTTCTCAGAACTTGTTATCATTTCTGATTCATATTGATCTTCGTCTAGTTCATGTTCACTAAGTTCTGAAGATCCACTTGTCACCTGTTCAGCACTTAGTTTTCGTTTAATTTGATAAAATTCTTCCGGTTCGCGTTTTACTTCATGAACTTCCTGATGAAATGCAATTGGAGTTGCTGCAAAACCGGAACTTGGTTCATATTGAGCGTGTTCAATTATTTGAGAAGATTCCAGAACGATTTGACCATCACTAGGTTTTCGTTCACGTTGATATCGTCCTTCTTCTTCTTCTTCTTCCTCATGATCACTTTCATGAGGCGATTCTATGCGAATATCGGTACCAGTTGGCTTTTGTTCAATTTCATCTTCATGTGTTTCATGAACTTCACCTGCTGGCTTTTCTGTTCGCAACAATTCTTCATCATGAGATCTTTTTCCTTCCTCTGTGACTGCTTCCGTAGATTCAAGAACTTTCTCTACAGTTGTCAATTTCTCTTCAGTTTCATAGTGATCTTTTTCTTCATCCGTGTATGTAGTGTCTAGTTTGACCGGTTCGATTAATTGTGGTGCAGCAGCTGCTAATGGTTCTTCCAGATTATCTTCAGCTGCTTCAGCAGACTCAATTCGAATTTTATCTGAACTTGTTATCACTTCTGGTTCATACTGATCTTCTTCTTGNAAGATCAATATAAAGCAAGTTCATAGTGATCTTTTTCTTCATCCGTGTATGTAGTGCCTAGTTTGACCCGTTCGATTAATTGTGGTGCAGCAGTTGCTAATGGTTCTTCCAGATTAACTTCAGCTGCTTCAGTAGACTCAATTCGGATTTTATCTGAACTTGTTATCACTTCTGGTTCATATTGATCTTCTTCTTCATGTTCACTTGATTCTGGAGATTCAACGATGACTTGGTCAGTGCTTAGTTTTCGTTTAATTTCATAATATTCTTCTGGTTCGTGTTTTACTTCAGGAATTTCTTGATGAAATGCGATTGGGACTGCTGCTAAGATTGAACTTGCTTTATATTGATCTTCTTCGATTGTTGGCGAAAATTGAAGAGCAACTTGATCATCAGTTGGTTTTCGCTCAGATTGATATTGTTCTTCTTCTTCTTCTTCATAATCACTTTCATGAGGCGATTCTATGCGAATATCGGTACCAGTTGGCTTATGTTCAATTTCATATTCATCTGTTTCATGAACTTCACCTGCTGGTTTTTCTGTTTGCAACAATTCTTCATCATGATATTGTTTTTGTTCTGCCACTGTCTCTGGAAATTTGATAACATTCTTGTCAGCACTTAATTCTTCTTCAGATTCATAGTGATCTTTTTCTTCATCCATGTGTTGAGTATCGATTTCAGGAGATTCAATGATTCTTTGTTGAAGAGTTAGTGATCTTTCCTCGAGTTCTTTTTCAACTGGCAACGTAGGTTCAATTTTCATCTCATCTGAACTTCTTACCAGTTCTTGTTGATATTGATCTTCTTCTTCATGTTCACTTGATTCTGGAGATTCAACGATGACTTGTTCAGTGCTTAGTTTTCGTTTAATTTCATAATATTCTTCTGGTTCGTGTTTTACTTCAGGAATTTCTTCATGAAAGGCAATTCGAGTTGCTGCAAAACTTGAACTTGGCTCATATAGAGCTTCTTCGGTTATTTGAGAAGATTCAAGAATGGCTTGATCATCGCTAGGTTTTCGCTCAGATTCATATCGTTTTTCCTCTTCTTCATTATCACTTTCGTGAGGAGATTCTATATGAATATCCACTCCACTTGGTTTATCTTCTATTTCATATTCATCGGTTTCATGAGCTTCACTGACTGGTTTTTCTCGTGGCAACAGTTCTTCATCATCATGTCTTTTCTCTTCATGGATTATTTCCGGAGTTTCGATAATATTCGTGTCAGAAAGTAATTCTTCTTTAGATTCATATTCATTCTTTTCTTGATCTCTTTGTATAGTGACCAGTTCAGCCGGCTCGATGAATTGTTTTTCAGAAGTTTGTAATGGTTCCTCGAGTTCTTGCTCAAATGGTACAGCAGGTGCAAGTTGAATTCTTCCATATCCAGTTCTTAATTCGCGTGCAGATTGATCTTCTTCTGATTCATGTTCACTAATTTCTGGTGATTCGGCGACGACATGTTCGCTGCTTAACTTTCGTTCAGTATGATAATCTACTTCAGGTTCGTGTTTGACTTCATGGATTTCTTGCTGAAATGCAATTGGAACTGCTGCTAAGATTGAACTTGCTTTATATTGATCTTCTTGGATTGTTGGAGAAGATTGAAGAATAATTTGATCATCAGTTGGTTTTCGCTCAGATTGATATTGTCCTTCTTCTTCTTCTTCATAATCACTTTCATGAGGCGATTCTATGCGAACATCTGCCCCACTTGGTTTTTGTTCAAATTCATCTTTATGCGTTTCATGAACTTCACGTGCTGGCTTTTCTGTTTGCAACAATTCTTCATCATGATATCTTTTTTCTTCCTCTGTGACTGTTTCTGTAGATTCAAGAACTTTCTCTATAGTTGTCAATTTTTCTTCAGATTCATAGTGATCTTTTTCTTCATCTCCGTATGTAGTGACTAGTCCAGCCGGCTCGACGAATTGTTTTTCAGGCGTTTGTAATGGTTCCTCGAGTTCTTGTTCAAATGGTACAGCAGGTGCAAGTTGAATTCTTCCATATCCAGTTCTTAATTCGCGTGCAGATTGATCTTCTTCTGATTCACGTTCACTAATTTCTGGCGATTCAGCGACGACATGTTCGCTGCTTAACTTCCGTTCAGTATGATAATCTATTTCAGGTTCGTGTTTTGCTTCAGAAATTTCTTGCAGAAATGTTATTGGGACTGCTGCAAAGATTGAACTTGCTTTATATTGATCTTCTTCGATTATTGGAGAAGATTGAAGAACAACTTGATCATCAGTTGGCTTCCGCTCAAATTTATATTGTTCTTCTTCTTCTTCATGATCACTTTCATGAGGCGATTCTATGCGAATATCGGTACCAGTTGCCTTTTGTTCAATTTCATATTCATCTGTTTCATGAACTTCACGTGCTGGCTTTTCTGTTTGCAACAGTTCTTCTTCATGATATCTTTTTTCTTCCTCTGGGACTGTTTCTGTAGATTCAAGAACTTTCTCTACAGTTGTCAATTTCTCTTCAGTTTCATAGTGATCTTTTTCTTCATCCGTGTATGTAGTGTCTAGTTTGACCGGTTCGATTAATTGTGGTGCAGCAGCTGCTAATGATTCTTCCAGATTATCTTCAGCTGCTTCAGTAGACTCAATTCGGATTTTATCTGAACTTGTTATCACTTCTGGTTCATATTGATCTTCTTCTTCATGTTCACTTGATTCTGGAGATTCAACGATGACTTGGTCCGTGCTTAGTTTTCGTTTAATTTCATAATATTCTTCTGGTTCGTGTTTTACTTCAGGAATTTCTTGATGAAAGGCAATTGGAGTTGCTGCAAAACTTGAACTTGGTTCATATTGAGCTTCTTCGGTTATTCGAGAAGATTCAAGAACGACTTGATCATCACTAGATTTTCGGTGGGTTTGATATTCTTCTCCCTCTTCTTCATGATCACTTTCATAAGGGGATTCCTTTTGAATGTGCGGACCAGTTGGTTTTTGTTCGATTTCATATGCATATGGTTCATGAGTTTCACCGGCTATTTTTGCTAATTCCAATGGCTCCTCATCTTCGTGTTTCTTGCCTGTTTCTGATATTTCAGGGATATTCTTGTCAATGGTCAATCTTTCTTCTGATTCATCTTTTTGTTGTATGGCTACTTCAGGATGTTCGATGAATTGTGGTTGAGTAGTTAATAATGGTTCGTAACGATCTTGTTCAACTGTTTCATATGTTGGTTCATATTGATCTTCTTCTTGTTCATCAAGATGGCGAGATTCAATAGTGCGCTTCTCGAAGCTTAATCGTCGTTCAAGTTCATGTTTATCCTCAATGGGCGTTTGTGTCGGACTTAATGGTTGTTCTTCATGTTCAATAAGTCGTGTGTAATCTGTGGGAAGTTGTTGTGAAGCAAGTTTTGATTCTAGTCGATATTCATATTCTTCGGCTGGTTTGACTTCATCGATATTAGGACGACGGATGATGAAAGTTTCGTCGTCAGTGAAGGTGCGTTCATGTAGATCTTGTTGTTTTGCATTGTAAAGTTCATTCAATTGTTGTTCTTGTTGATATTCGTCTAGAGGTTCATGGAAAACTTGTGCATCCTCATCCGTGAGAATAGTTGATGGAGGTTCTGTAATTTTATCTGTACTCCATGTTTTTTCTATATGATATTGCTCATTTTCATCTCTTTCTTGAATATCTTGTTGTAATGCTTCAATAAAAATGTGATCTTTTTCTTCTTCTTTTTGTTTTTTAGATTCATCATAAAGATTATCATCAATAATACTTTGTTGATCAATAATTTGTGGTAATTGATATTGTTGTTGATCGATTTCTTGTCTTTGTTTGAATAAATTCAAGGAATTTTCAGCATGTTGTCGAATATCATGTGTAATTTTTTCAAGTTCATTTGTTTTTAATATTGTTTCATTTGTGTGCTCATCAATAATAATTGTTTCATCTGGTGGCCATCGTTCAGTATCCTGTCGTGTTAAAATAGTTCGATGTATAAAAATAGGTGAATGTGAAGTAAATGGTGATATTGTATCACGTTCTTCAATTTCAATCGTTGTATCATCAAATATTTGTTTTGATGATGTTAATGGAAAATGTTCAACTTCATGTACAATTTCACATAAATTTGATGTTGGATAATGTTGTTCTGTTATTATAATTGATTCAGCAAGTATTTCTTCATCATTATTTGTCATTTGTTGTTCATCAATTTTAACAGGTGTTTTTGGCAATGATTCAGCAGGTATTTCTTCATTATCTTGTTTTATTTGTTGTTCATCAATTTTATGTGGTCTTTTTGACCATGATGCAGCAAGCATTAAATCACTCATTATACTTCGAAGATTATCAATAGATGATGGTTGTAATGATCCCATTTGTGGTAATGATGAACGTTCAGTAAACATTGAACGGTGTGAATCACCTTCATAAAAAACATCACTTGAAACAAGTGGATTTTCAGGTATAAGAGGTTTATCATGAACTATTGTTTCTTTAGTTTTTTCTTTTTGATATAATGAACGATTTACATCACCTTCATAAAAACTATCAGCACTTATACGTGCATCTTCAGGTATTAGATGTGTTAGATGTGGATGAGAAGATCGTTTTTCTTGAATTGATTTATCGCCTTCGAAAAAGACATCACGTGTTATTACAGGATTTTCAGGTATAAGATGTGAATATGTTTGTCTTGGTGATAATAATTGACCATCAGGTCCACGTTGAAAATATTCAGCCATTTGTTCAGGTGTCCAATCTAAATCATGATGAATCATTTCTTGGGATAAATTTTCTTGTAAATTTTCATCTGTTTTTATTTCGGATTCATTTATTTTAGTTGTTGTTATTAAATTTGATTGTTTCGATTTAATATCATTTATAATACGACGTAATTCATTAACATTTTGTTCAAATAGATCAATTAAACTATAATCTTCTTGTTGATGTAATTGATTAACTAAATTATCATTTATTGTATGAAATAAATTTTGTAATTCATCTAATTCATATTCAATACGTAATTCATCTTGTTTATTTAAATTTATATCAGATATTATTATTTTTAAATCATTTATTTTTATATATATATTATTAAAATTTGTTGATGTTAATTTTGTATTTTTTAAATAATCAATAATGGAATAAATTTCATCAATTTTATCATCAAATTGTTCAAATTGTTCTTCAACTCGTAGAAGTGATGATGAACGTATTTTTTTAATTTCCGATGGTTGTTTATCTTCCATTGAAATTTGACTATCAAATTTATTTTCTGTAAGAATTTCTGAAGATTTTTCTGTTGATGATAATAAATTTTCATTCAATGGACTAATTGATTGATCAATAATTGTTGATGATGATATAACTTCATTTGAAATATTACTATCAATTTCAATAGGTTTATTTAATTGTTTATCTTCTAATGATTGACTTGTTATAATTTGTTCATCATCCGTATCACTATCAGTTAAAAATGCTTGATCAAATGCTTTTGGTAATTTAACAGTAGCACGTTTCATAACAGGTGATGAAAATTTTTTTAAATGTGTTTGTGCTTCAGAAATAGGTATTGGTTGTGCTATCCAAAATGAATTTTTTGTTTTAACAAGTAAATATGGACTTTTAACTGTTTGTGCATCATAATGTATTTCAACAGATTCCGGTATATCTGGTAATGTTTCAATCATTGGTGATGTTTGTATAGCTAATGAGTGTTGAGATAAATTAGTTTTCGATATATCAAATGGTGATGTTGCTATATCAACTTTATGATGTGGTTCAAATTGTCCTTTAAGTGATTTAAGTATTGTACCTGTTACAGCTGTAACACCTTCATTAACAGCTAAACGTGAACGTAATACAGATAATTCATGTTCAGCTGTTAATAATTCAGATTGTAATAATGGTGATTCATTTTCAATAAGATTTGTTATATTTTGCTCAAATGTTAATTTATTAGGTAATGGTAAACGACGTTGTTGTGTTAATGATTGAAGATTAATATTAGTATGATGTTGTTCATCTAATATTTTTTTATCTTCATGAATAATCGATTTTTTTAATTGAATATCATTTGATTGTTGATATGGTAATATTGATGATTGACTTGTCATTGATGGTGAAATATTAGATTCTGTTATAGTAGTCATATGAGAAGAAGAAAAAGAAGGAAAATTAGTAGAAGGAGAAGTAGAAGAGAATAGTAATGATGATTTTTTCGATGATGATGATGATGGTGGTGGTGATGGCTCTTCTCCTTTGCCAGCAAGAGTAACTACAAACAATAGAAAATAAGGAAAAAAGAACGAGAGTTGTAGTAGCTTAACGATCACTTAGTCCCATTTGATTCTGCTGCTTACTCTCTTTGATGAAGTAGATTGAAAAGAATGAGAAGAAAGAAAAAGAAATCTAATAGAAAAAAAAATCTAACAAATATAATATGGCATTTTCCTTATTTTTGAAAATATAATTCTCATCATAAATATATGTTTATATATATATAGAAAAAAAAACATAAACAATATTCTCTCTAATGGATAGTGTGCGTGGGTGTGATACGGTTTTTCTCTGTTGTAAAACGAGAAAGAGAAAAGTATAATTATTTCAATACTATGCAAAAATACGAATAAATGAACAAAGAATCGATACATCAGAAACAAAAAAATAATAATAATAATGAAAGTCAATTAGTCAAACGTTCTTTTTATTGATTATCATTTGTGTGTAAGTTTTTTTTTTCTATCTATTATTTACAAGCAATCAATTTGCTGTTATTGAACGATCAGAAAAGACGAAGACTAAAAAAATCTCTCAATCGATGTGTACTTAAAGATAACAATAAGAAATGAAGTGATGACAGAGTTAACAGCAAACAACATATACTAAGATAAAAAGAAATGGTTTAGCAAACCATGCAAAAAAAAAAAACTGCAGCTATTTGAAAAACCGTATCACACTCTCGCACATATTCTTTATAGAGAATATTCATTGAAATATATATAAACATAATGCAATATAGGTGCACGCGCAAAAATCAGTGGAGAAAAAAAAAAGAACATTTGGAAATCATGCGTTTATGTACGCTTTAAGGAAAAAAGGTGTTTTTTTAAATTTAGCTACATGCTTATTATATAATTATGATGACATTAATAAACCCATTCTCAAAAAAAAAAACTCCATGCTTTTTCGTATTGCTTACATTATCGATTTCTCGACTAATCTTGAACTAGAAAAATTAATTTAGATTTTATAATTTAAATGATTAAATTTCAGCATTTTCTACGCTATAACATGCATATTAACTAGTAACATTAATCAAATGAGCAGCAGTAGTAGTAATGCCCGCATTTTAGAAAAAAAAATAATCAAAATCTATATTATCTTCTTACCTTCTTTATTCGCGTCAGTTGATATTTGTTCCGTATCACTAATTTCTTTTGCAAGAGTGTCTAAACAACAACAGAAAAACAAATGAATAATATTAAATGAATAAATAATTTTAATCATTAAAATTTTTATAAAAAGAAAAAAGACAATATTTTCTTCATGCGCACACATCAGTTTTATTTTAAACATGCGTGTACGCAAACCTTGTAGATAAAGATTATGATTGTATTGTTCAAGAATATCATTTAAAAATGACATATCGTCTTCATCAGCAGGTTCACTATTGTCTTCAACAACTTCGATTATAGGCGGCGATGCTATATTATATATAGATAAAAATATAGAGAAATTTTCTGTTATTATTATTATTATTATTACTATTATTATTTTTATCAAAAAAAATAAATAATAATAAAATAAGCATTGAAATAATCATGCCAATTCGAACAAGGCAAAAAAAAAACCTAGGGAAATCAAGACATGCCAGATAAAATGAATAAATATGTTCGTGCTTGTTTATTTGTATATAATACGATGCGATTCTACCTTTAGAAAATCGAAATGGATTGAGAGGTGTTAGGATCGGTGTTTCAACCTCATACGATTCGACAAGATCTTCATCACTTATATAGGAATTTATCTGTTGACTTTGTACTGTTGAACCACTTGTACTATCATTCGTCAATGTACTCATTGCAGTTGCATATGTTCCAGTAGATGATGGTATACTTTCGAAACTTTCATTAATTGTTGATATTGATGTTGTAGCAGTAGTATTAGTAATTGTCGGCATAGATGGTGTTATTTCAGATGATGTTGAAGCAACTGGAGGAAGAGATAATGATGGTTGTTGTGTGTCATCGTTTAAACTTCCATATGAACCATGTAGATTATCATAATCAGATAGCAATGAACGTGCTGGTGTTGCACTACCTGTATTTAATTGTTGTGATATAGCATTATCTGATAGATTTGTATCATTTGAATCAATACTACTTTCTTTACTACTAGTAAGTAAAAATTTCGAGCGATCGGAAGCTATACTACTATTTGGCATTAATGTTGAAGAACTATTTAATTGTTCTTCATCATCAGAATTTATATTTGCTGTTATTGTTGATGATATTTCTGGTTGTGGTGGACTTATGACTGTTACAGATGTTGTTATTTTTGGTGTCGGTTTTGTTGTAACAATATCAAGTAATGGTGAAAATGTTTTTGTTATATTAAAACTTGGTTCAAGTGAAACAAACATTAGAGGACGAGTTGTCGACTGAATAGATGCTGGATGGGTTGTTGCGATTGATTGAGGTAATAATGGTACATTATCACGAAATGTATTATTTGTTGATTTTGATGATTCTGTAGATAATTTATCAATTAAATATTGTCGATCATCATTTATAATTGTCTTAAGATTTTTTAATTGATCTTGTCTTTGAAATTCTTTTTCAATTTCTTCAAAAAGATTTTCTGTTAAATGATTTGCTAATTGTGTTATTTCAATAGGTGTTTGATTATCATATGATGATGAAACAATATGAAATGATGAAATTGTTGTTGATGGTTCATCAAATGATTTTATTATTAATGATGAATCTGTATTTAAAATTATTCTTGCTGGATCAACAGTAAATGTATTAATACTATGAAAATTATTTAAATTTTCATTTTCAAATTCAATAGTATTTGATGGTTGTTGTACATAGGTTTCTGAAGATGATTTTTGTCGTAAAATATTCATGTCATGATCATCATCTGATATGATACCAAATGTATCAACAAGATTTAAAACTTTTTTAACAACATTATCTGTTTGTTGTATTAGACCATCATCATTATTATTATTATTATTACTCGATAATGAAAAATGTCTAGGTGGTTTTATTGGTGGTGAACTTATATCTATGGATGACGATGAACCAGATTCATCATTATGACGCGGTGGTTTAGCTGGTGGTGGTGTTAATGTTAAAGGACTTATTGATTCAAGTGAATCAACATATGTTTCATTTACAATATTATCCGAATTTTCAATAACCATTGATGATGGATTTGATAATGAATGTGTTATTTGTGATTCATTTGTGTTAATTTCAAGAGATTTCATTTTTTTTGTTGCTATGGTTTTTTTTAATGGTTTAACAACGGCATGTTTAAGTGCATGTGCTAATGCACGTGCTTGTTCGGGTATGATTTTTGATTTTACTAAACGTTCACCTACAGGTGGAACTGTTTGAGATGGTAAATTAGTACGTGTAGGCGCTGGAAGAAAATTTTAGTTTTTGTTTTAGTTAAAGAAACAATTTAAAAAAAAGAAAAGCGAAAATAAATTAAATCTTTTTATTTTACTTACATATATCATCAAGTATTTGTGGAGGTTGTTCAGTTGTTAGAATTGTAGATTGTTGTTGTTGTGATGGTGATAAATCTTCTTCTAATTTATTAGAATCAAGTTTAATTGGAGAAACAGGTGTTTCTTGAACAATTGTATCTATAATAGATGAAGTTTGTTTTGATGGTATTTCATTATCTAATTCTATTGGAGTTGTTTCTTTGGCTATGTGAACAATGCCAAAATCATCTCGTTTTGGTAAGAATTTTTTTGTTGGATATTCTTGAAAAATAAAAAAATAGAATTAATTGATATTTTTCAAATTCAATAACGAAGAAAAAAAAAGAGAAACTTGTCAGCGCAACTTTTTTGTGGTTAAAATATAGAACTCGCATATGCTCTTCAGTCTCATTATACTAATACAAAATGCGTTAAATGAAAAATCTGTAGAAGGCTATAGTTATCTTTCAAGGATAATCGATCGTCAGAGAAACAATCTGTCTTATTTATTTTTGCATTTCGAACAAAAATAGGTTTTCTTTTTTTCACTGACATACTATTTTCTATTTGTTTGTCTATTTACTCGTCGTTTTTAATTCATTTTCGTTTTTTTAAATTTAACATTGATTGAACTTAACAAATAAACCTATTTTTAAATATATATCTATGATATCGACAGAAAGTCTCAACACACTATTATTTATCTCGATAATCTTATAAACGACGATATTGATTTATAACATGATTAATTCGTCGTTTTTATATCGATCATACGATGTCTGCGACATATCAATACATCACTATTCATCATCCATGACATCTTGAATAGAAGTTTTTATCTCCGCAAAAATAAAAAAATTACACTAATGAATATATTTCAACCATTTGGAATGTTCTAGAACATTTTGTGTTTTGTTGTTAATGGCTTCTATTTCGTTCGTAAGAAACACTGTGACAGAAGTCTGATGTCTATTGATCTCGGCTTTTGTGGAAGCGTACTCAATAACTGTTGGCCTTTCTTCCATAGCTATGAGAGCGGAGCAGCAAGACCTCGACTTAAAACGTATACTCACTATATTTTTCTTCGGAAAATGTAATGTGAATTTCATAAAATTATTAATTAACTTAAAACTATCTAAAGTACTTGAACAAAGAGAGATCCGAAAAATGTTAATCTCATTTTATGAAACTTGTCTTCTAACAAGAGAATGTTTTCAATTGATCAATCGTTCCCTCACTAAAAGCTCATGAATTGTCGTTTATCAATCATGTTGATTTCGAATATGATCCTGAGAAATTCTCCTTAAGTCTTCATATGTTGATTTTCTAGAAAATTGGTTTTTCAACGTCGTTAAAAATTCTTTTCAATCTGTTCAAATTATAGAACATATCAAATTGTCTAGACATCAATAACTTTTTCTTTTGTAGTAAAAATTAATTTTCAGAAAACAGAAAAGATTATTATCTTATAGAAAACGCAATACATTCTAAAATACAGCCCGTCGGATTGGCTGTGAATCCGGACGCGACGGACTCTACTCTATAAAGCTCTAAGGAAATTTCTTATGGTTGAATTCGGAATGAGCATCGTTGACAACCCATAACTTAGCAGCTTTTAGTGAGGGAACGATTGATCAATTGAAAACATTCGTTCATCAGAAAAAAATAATCTGTGTACGTGTCATAGAACGTCAGAAATAAATAGGTCAAATTCCTTCAAAATACATCATAAAATAATGATAGAGATTTATAAAAATACACTTAACAATAGCTATATTGTCATTATTGATTTCCTTACTGAATAAATCTTATTAACCGAAAAAAAAAAATATTTTCTTCCTTTCTACAACAATAACGGTAGTATTATAATTCTTATCTTTCTCAAATGCCATCATATGAATGGCGATATTACCTTTTTTTTAAAGTGGATAATTGCAATAGAGTAATAAAAAAAATTTCCTCCGCGATAAACAAACCAAATAAATAATGATAGAAAGAACTCGTATTTATTTTTCTGTACAAAACGAACAATAAAAACATAAGTACACTACTATTATTAGGTTTTACTTTCTATTCAAATAGATCACAACTATATTATTATTATTATATATATATATATAAGATAATCTATGCCAAAATTTTGTGTTTTTTTTTTCTTTTCTTATTGAATATTCATTGATTCAGAAAAGCAAGAAGAAAAATTTTCTTCTTCTTTATCCTTATAACCAAATTTTTTCATTTATAAACATAGTTTTTTTTCTTTCTTTTATCTCCCATGAGATAAACTGCTGAGCTAACTAATACTATGAACATATGAATAGAAGACTTCTGACTGATTCAATAATGATAATTATATTCTTACCCGTTGGTGTTTTTCGTCCTTCACCAAGATCTATACTTCGTTGTTTTCCTAATGAATCATCATGATCAACTAAAAATAGAAGAAAGAAAATTCATATAGTTTCATAAGAATTTAAAAAATAAAAATAAATCACTGCAAAACAAATATTTCATGCTTAAAATAGACAAATGACACATCAAACAAAAAAGAAAACCTTTATCACGTGTTAATCTATTTAATTTTTCTCTTAAACTTTCAATATGTATCATTTCAAATGGATGTGAATAACAACTTAATGGTGTTATTGAACCTGAATAATTCTGTGGATGATATATTGAATAATAACCACCATAACGTGATGCTGGCGTTGGTGCTTTACTTGAATCAACATAATGTAACGGAGCGTCACGTTCACCTTTAAATATATATACAAAACAACATTGACAAAACAACAACAACAACAACAACAACAATAATAATAACAATGAGGTTTTCTTTTTCTACAAGACAAAAGCTTGACAATATCTATTTTATGAACCTAATCGTTTTTCATGAGTTTTTGCATTTATTATTGTATCAGCACTTGATGTTGATGATGATGATGGAAGAAATTCTTTAGATAGATCTCGTTTAATCATTTTAAGTGGTTCTAATTGTTTAAATTGTGGATTTAGATTTTGTTGTGATGAAAGTTTTTCTTGTTTCTTTTCTCCTAATTCATCTTCAATTGATTCTTCAAATGTTATAGTTTTTATTATTGTACGTGTTCGATTTGCATCATTAATTATGATATCTTTAGTTTAAATAGTAAAAAAAAATTTTTTTTTTTTTTTATCGATATAATTTTTCCGAGAGATATATTATTTGATTTTTATTTTTTTTTTTATTTTATTTTTTTACTTACTAGATCTTCCATGACGACGACGTTCATATTCATCATCACTTTCAAAACCTTCATCTAACTATAAAATAATAATAACAATGAAAAGATTTTGAAGGAAATGATAGAAAAACAAAACAGTAAAACATACACGACGTCCCGCAATTGTTGTCCCATCAACACTTCCACCACGACTAGTTATACGAGCTTTAGCTACTTCTTTTTCTGCTGCATCAGTAACCCATTCAATATTAAATACACAATTATGAACAATATTTTCTTTGCCAATTTTACGTAAGGCTAGTTGAAGACAGTTACCTGAAAGAAAAAACAAATAAACTTCGATAAAAATTTTCAGTACAAATAATCAATAAAAACGAAAACAAAACAAAAAAACAATTAAATAACTCTTTTCAAAAGGTTATTAACTTTTATCTATCAGAGATTTTAACACTTGTATCGATGAAAAATGATCACCTATCTTAATGCAATATTGCTGAAAGCAATTATACATATACTAGATTTAAGCAAGATGACGTCGGGATCGAAAACGGTTTTCTTTTAGATCGAGACTAGCGTCGGAGTCGGGACCAACTTTGTTTTTGGTCGAGTAGGGTTCCAGTTTTTTAGAGACCAGCAACGGAACCAAAGTTTTTATTTTTACCGGGTTCGGAACCTTTTTCTTAATGGGGTCGAAGCCAAAGCTTTTTCTGACGAGAGCCGAGATACGGATAAAATTTTTTTTTTACCAGGATTGCGATCGAGTCCAAATTCTTTTTGCTAGGGAATGGTGATTCCACTCATATCTAACATATACATGAAGAGGTTCTTCACCTGTTGCTTCAGTTCCACGTGATTTAAGCCAATATCGTAACATATGTAAAGCAGCATTTTCTCCATATTCATCCATTAATTTAGTAACTTCTTCTTCAGTTAATTCAAGTTCAGCAGCAAGTGCTGGCCAATCAGTGCCTAATAATCGTGCTATATCGGTTAGACGAATTTCACCTTTTCGATACATATCGTCAGATCTCCAACCTAAAGAAAAAATAATATTTTTATTTTTTTTTCGAATATAATTTTTGTTAAATTCCTACTTTCTAAACGAGAATCTCGTTCAGCTGAATGAAGAGCTCGAATACGTTCTTCATTCTAAATAGAAATTAAAGGAAATAAGCAAAAAAACAAACGATATTTCAATAATAATAATAATAATCTTACCTCAATTAAATCCTAATTAAAAATAAAATAAAATAATTTTAATATTAGAAAAATCAAAATATATTTCTTACTCTATCATATGATGGTAAAATAATATTTAAATTACAAATTGGTTGTAATAATTGTGGATCAATTATTGTATTTGATGGTACATGTCCATTTGTCATTGTAACTGATGTTGTTTGTTGTAAGGTTGTTAATTTTCCATTATCTTTTGAAAATATTAAACGTCCTGTTGGTTCTTGTTGTTGATCACGTATACGAACAATACATGGTAAACGATTTTCTCTAAATGCTCGAAATGTAAATGTTAATTGTTCATTTGTTTTAACAATTGTTTGTAAATTATTTGATTGTAAATCCAAATAAATTGCATTTCCATTAATAACTTCAACTTCTTTTGATTTAGCTATTTCAATAAAATGTTCTTGCATTTCAAGTGTTTTATTTTCTTTATCATCAGTTATACAAAATACACGAACAAGTGATTCATTTGGATCATTTCGTTTAGCAAATACAACAAAACGTGACATATATGGTACTGATATTGCTTCACGATAAATTTCATGTGCTAATTTTAATACATCAGGTACACCTTGAGCATCGACTAACCAGAATCTTTAAATACAAAACATAATAAGATATTGTTTTCAATAGATATATATGTGTGTGTGTGTGACGATTCACAGCTTTAAAAAAAAGAATACTAATTAATTAGATCGATTAATTCATTGAACTGTTTAGTAGGTATTTCGATAGTCCTAGTCATTAATTAATTATTCATTTGAATAGCTCTAGTTCGATCAGTTAAAATAGAACTGTTACACAGCTGATGTTCAAAAATAAATCATTCGATTCCATCTGAATAGAAATATCAAATAATTGTTCAGCGAGAAAAACTTGTCTATCTTCAAGTCAGTGTTTAATCCAGCGTGAAAATTGAGGGGCGACGTTCTTTCGAAGGCCGGGTTAACTCGTCTGCAAGAGAAAATCTAGATAAAACAATGTTTAAAGTCTTGGTATATTGTCTGTAAACAGATGATGATTTATCTCATACTTTTATCGACTATGAAAATTGGACTTGCTCCAGAAAAAATCTGGTAGATTCCATTTGTCTGATTAGAGGTAAACAAATTTCTTATATGAATTCATATGATTAAAATCATTATTAATTAAGGAATATAGTTATCCTTTCGAAAGTATACTCAACAAAAATGAATTACTAAAAAAGAAAAGATATTTCAATTATTATTTATAATTAATTCAATCGATGTATGATTTCATATTTTTAGTCAAATAAAAATCATCATTATAGAATTAAATATGGACAAGATGATCCTCAGATCAAAATCAGCCTTTTTTTTTCATTAGGAACGATACCTTTTATAGGCATGTAAAACTTGCATCGAATGTCATAGTATCGCGACACATATCTTCAAAATAGATATGGGTATGATGGTCCCGACCTCTGTGAAACTAGGATAAAAAAACGACTGAACTCACTCATGTCTAATCAGAAACGAAACATCAATACATCTGAATACTATCTCGTAAATTGTCTTGTGAGAAAAAAGAAACCCTATACAAAATTTAACAATGAGTCTTTTTTTTACCTAGCTGAAACAGTTGTTGTAAATGTTGCACACTCATTTGAAAATGTTAATGGTGTATGTCCTGTAATATCATCAAATTGTGCTGGATGTGTGCCACCAGTAATACTACATAATAAACGAAGTGTTTGAGAATCACTTGTATATGCATTTCCATGTTGTTGAGTTTCTCGTTGATGACCTTGTTTCGTTATTGATAAAGATTTTGTTGGTAATGGTATTGTTAATGTAATTGGTTTATGAAATTTTCTTCGACGTGGTTCAACTGTTACAATAGGACTTACGTTAACATGTGTACCATATGAACGTTGAAGAAGTTGAGATGATATTGGTAAAACATGAAGTGATATACGAATACGTTTTTGTAATGCTTTTTCAGGTATAAGAGCTTGAACTTTAGGTATTATTGTTGATGTTAATAAACCACCTTGTTCATCAATAAAATTTGCTTCTTGACGTAAACGTGTTATTAATGCAAAAAAACGTGGAAAATCATTTGTTATTATACGTGTTATTCGACGTGAATTAAGTTCTTCGAGATTTTCAAGTTCTAATGAAAAGGAAAAAAAAAAAAAGATGAATTTCATAATAAGAAAAATTCTATATTAGAAATCTTCTTTTTTTATTTTGTACCTTCAGAATCAATCGTATCACCAAGTGCATCACGTACGGCTTCATCTGTTGTTGGACTTGCATGTTCTGTCCATTTTTCACCATTATCACTTCGTAAAACAACGATTTCTCGTTCACGATTACGTAATGAAGCAAAATGAGGAATTTCAAGAATAACAGGTCTAAAAGATAATTATTAAATATTTAATTAATGCATCACAAGAAAAAAAAAGATTTATGTTTTAAATATTCCTTTGACTTTATTTTATTTACAATTCGATTTAACTTTGTATCAAATATTTCAATCCGAATGTCAGAATTTCGAATCGAGCCTTAAGTCCTCTTATTAATCTTCATAAAAAGCTTTATGTCGATGAATACTTGGTACACTCCAATGTGTTCAAAATTTTCGGATTTGAATTCGATCAGATCCGGTACCAATGCACCAGACTCTATCTAGCACTATTTCGTTTTGTTGAGCACTACAGAGTGTACTAAGTTTTTATAGAATTTCAGGTTTATAGAGAAGTTAATGAATGGAATTGGAGTTCAAGCCAGAAGTTCTGTATGACTTTCGGTCTGGTCCGAAATTCATGTAATTAGTTCGAATTCTATTATAATAAGATGAAATTTTGTTTCACAATAGTCTCATATTCTTCTAATTGTAAATAACTTAATAGCAGTCTTATGTATATGAATAATAATTTAATCCTTAAATATTCTTTACATTGAAAATCCAAAAAGATCATGTCCCATTTCATCTTTCAAAAAGATATTGTCACCACATACAAGTCTATTCTTTGATAATACTGAAACTTCTTTCGATTTACTTTCTGATTGCTAATTTCAATTAATTTCAAAGATGAGATCAGGTTGATTTTCAAACAACAAAGAATATACAAAATGATTCTATCTTCACCGAAGCTCCTTCATCTTAAAAAATGATTTTGTGTCAGATGCACTCATATTCAAACTATGTTGGGACTGTAATCGAGGGACTACCCTAAAATTTTTAGCCCTATATCACGACATTTTCAAGAGACATTTCACAAACAAGTGTCAAAAATAGTTCATTTATTCCTGAAGGACTCTCATTCTATAAATTATTTTTTTTTAAATTCTTTCTTTTTATGTGAAAAAGAATGACAAATTCAATATCTTGAGAAATAGTCATCTATTTATAGAAGTGCTTTTACACTATAATAAAAAATCTTAATTAAAAAAAAAAAACCTGGCACCATAGCTTTGCATGTTCTTTAAAACACACGAAAGAAAGTAATTTGTTACAATGATATTCCTTCGAGAATTTTTTAGTGCTCGATTAGAAAATCAAAAATAGGAAAAAAAAAAGATTTGCCGCTTAAAAAGAATATTTTTCAAGCAGAATATATAGCGGAAATCATCAAAAACGAGTTATGATAGATCAGACACTTCGGGCTATCTTCTTATACATTTATCTTCATGTCGATTTTTCATTGACTTGTTTTTTGATAGATAAAAGAATTCTTAAAGTTTCTCTTCTAATAAATAAATATCTTACCCAAGAAATTTACAATTAACAGGTCCAACTTCTAAAATTCTTGCTGCCAATGCGTCACCTTCATTTAATGGTGGTGGTACAGTTAATTTATCACGTTTGACAAAACGACATGTTATTCTTGTTGGCATACTAGCACGTTTTGCTGGTATAATAACTCGTACACCTGAATGTCGACAACCACGCATAGCACCACCACGAGCATCAACCAAAAAGCTTACCAAAAATCTAGATATAAATAAATAAATTATATCAAATGAAAAGTAATACAAAGCAAAAAAAGAAAAAGAAAAAGAAAAAGAAAATAAATAAATAATGAATTAATTAATCTAAGATGATTAGTAATCTAGCAGAAAATTAGCTAAGCATGTGCGAACACTTACGATCGATAATGAAAACGATCCCTAGAAAATAGATATATACACATCACACACATGGCAACAAATATTTTCATGCTTATGCAATCATTTAAAAACCAAAAAAGAAAAAAAAACCGAATTCAAACTTACCCTCCATGACGTGGTTTTGTTATTATTTCATTATCAGCCGTATATGTTTGTGGAATTTTAATAGGTGTTTGTTGATGATCATGTAAATTATCACGACTTTCATTCCAACCATCTTTTGTTGCTAATATTGGATATTCAGATTCTTCCTATAAATTAATATATATACATACATAAATCATAGTTCAAAGGGTTTTGCCGGATTTTATGACCCATTTCGAATCACGATGCCATATATGTGATTTTGTAGACTAGATTGCAGAGCATCGAATAATATATAAGAAATCAAGTTTTATGGAAATTTTGTATACTGATTACAATCATTGAAATATAAATGGAACTCATAGACCTTGTGCTCCCAAAGATTAACTTATGCAAGTTTTCTTCTTCAATTCAATTCGATACAATATAGATACTCTTGGATTTACTATAATTCACAGCTTTCATCGTTGCTTCCTTCATATCTGAGCATGATCCTTTTTTGTTAGGTTTGAGTTATTTCTTTACTATATAATATTTTGGTGTGTTCAATTCCGTGTTACAGAACAAGAAACTTTCTTAAAAATTGTACACTATCAAGTTGTATAAGTTTCATAAATAAAATCTTTTCGAACAGAAGAAACTCATTTACAATTTGCAAAATTGTATCCTATAACACCGATTGTCCTAGATGAGGGAGTTAGTATATTGACGGTATTTTAACAATATTCAATAGTCCTATTAAAAATTTTTGTATACAAAAATCTCAACACAGTATATCTGATCAACTGATATAGATAATTGGTGTACAAACGAAAAATAGTTTTTGTCTTCAGACTCTTGAAGAGAAGTACGGGTATGTGGAAAATTTTCTTTTTCAAATGAACATGAGATATTTCTAGATTCTTTTAGAGTTTTATGCAAAAACTAAATCTGAATATTCGAAATAACATTTTTTCCATATGCCCTGTACAATCCCCACGGGAGTCTGGAGGTCAAAACATTTTTGTTTGTTTATAAAAAAGTTATCTATATCAGTTCATCAAGCATACTGTGCTGATTATTTATACATGAAAATTTGTCAATAGGATCGTTGAGTATTGCTTAAATATCGTCAATATATCAGTCAGAAAAGTTTCTTGTTCTGTGACACAGAATTGAACATACTAATATATCATATTGTCAAGGAATAATTTAAACTAAAGAAATCAACGATAATAATTGTTTATTATAGAAAATTTGAAGAGAATCAATAACTGTACTGCAATGAGTTTGAAAAAAATTTACTAAAGTTTATCTTAGAATATTCTATAGCTTACAATGTTTATAAGTACCATATATATTCTAAGAATATAATTAGTACACAAAATTTTCATAAAACTTGATTTCTTAGATACTATTCAATATACCTCAATCTGATCTACAAAATCATATATAAGATATCTTGGTCCAGGATATGTTCCGATGGGGTTTTCTCGATTAAATTAATAAAATAATATTTCTTTACTTTAATTAATGATACTTGATTAAGTTTATTTTCTTCTGCTTCAGTCATTAAAACACCTTCACGTAAATATTGCATATGAACATTTGAACTAGCATCACCAAGCATGTCTAAATATAAATATTTCTCTGTTTCTTTATCATGTGAATAAAATAATAATAATAACGAATTTTTTATTGCATTTTAGGGTCATAGCATAATTCATGCGAGCGCATCTGAAGGATAAAAAGCATAGAAATTCTTATTGATTTCATTCTTTTGTCAGGCAAAAATAGATAAATAGAAAAAGAAATCCAAACTGCAAAATATACGACTACCTGTAGTCGTTTTTTGTTTGCTATTTAAATTGTTAATAGCTCTCACCATTTCGAAATATCCAATTTCAGGATAAATTATTTCATTATCAATTTTTATTTCATCATCTAGATAATTTGATGATGATTATATTGTGGTTTTCATTATTTTTTTTTTTGTATTAATTTAGTTAAATTTTTTTTTTTCTTAAAAACAAAATATATCTAGATATATTTACCTCCTTCATCATCAGAATCAGTTAATGGTTGTTCTTCATGAGATATTTCTGGCGCTTGAATCTAAAAAAAAATAAATAAAATTCTATTTTTTTTTTTTTTTGTTTTGATTAAAATTTACTTTATAACGTTCTTCACTTAATAATTCATGTTTACTAGTAACTGTTGTTTCAGTAACAACTTTAAGTTCTTCGACAACAGATATATAACCAAGACGTTGTGCAATTGATAAAGCTGTCATTCCATGCTACAAAAAATCAAAACAAAAAAAATATTTAATTTTAAAGAAAAACTAAACAAACTTATATTTAACAAACTTACTTTATTTGTTTTATTTGGTGAAGCACCATTTTCAAGTAATAGTTTAACAATCATAACATGGCCTTGTTGAGCAGCAGAATGAAGTGGTGTAAACAACAGCTTTAAGAAGAAAAAAGAGTTAGATCGTCAAAAAAAAAGATTATTCAAAAAGAAAAAAAACATGACAAAAAAATATTTATAATCTTACATTTGTTTCTATGTTAACATTGGCACCTAGTTGAAGTAAATACCGAACCATATTTAATTGACCAAAGTGACAAGCAACATGTAAACTTGTATAACCACTCTAGAAGAAGTCAAAAGAAAAAAAAAAATAATAATCTTTATAATCGTATAGACAAATATTCGCATGATAAAACTAAGAATAAATGCCTTTTTTTCTAATGAGAGTGGAAATCTTCTCAACTTAAAAATTGTTTTTCCATTCGAATTATGATAGTTTGGCTTGAATGTCCTGAAAATTTTAGTTCAAAAGAATATTCTCTTTATAAGCTATTGAGTTCCGAAAAAAAACATGCAATTCTCGAATTCCTAGAACATTCAGGTTAAAATATCATCATTCGATTACTTTTCTGTGTGCCTTGTTATAGTTTAAAAACCCAACCAATTGGCTATAACGTGATACAGAAGACCTTCTTTTCGGAAGGTTTTTAAATACCTCATGAAGGTCTATCTTATTGTACAAAATCCGAACTCGAAAACGATATTCAAATTGAGAAGATTATTTTATGAGTTGATGCATTATTTAGAAATGTATTGCCACAGAAAACTATCGATCTAATCATTCAGTAAATTCTCTTATTAATGATGATAAACTCTAGTCTACTAGGTTAGTCTCAAGTGGACTTTAATATTTCAGTATTAATATTCAATAGTTTAATAATTAATATGTATTATCCTTTGCATTAATAATTAAGAGTTTGGAGATTTTATCTAAAATCTAATTAATGGTAAGGATGATGAAAGTAGATCAATATGAAATTAGATTAAAAATAAATCATTGACTGATGAGGAAATTACTTCAGAGATTCGCTTCCGATTTCAATGATTTCTTTGCTTACAGATAATAAAATCCCTAAAAGAATTTCGTTAAGCTATCGAATTTTGATCTGAAATTTTGCGCATATAGACAACTCAACGAGACTAGCGTCTATAAAAGATTTCAGAAAAAGTCTCTTCGACATATAATACTTTCAAGATATAGATTCTTTTCCATAGATAGTGCATATGACATGCATTTTTTTTTATGGAAACTAGTCTAGTTGAGTTTTCAATATCAGATCAAAATTAAAAAATATGAGCTTTCCGAAAATCTGAGACCTCTAGAAAAAAAAAAACTCAATGACTTAATCAGCATTGAAATAGAAATAGAGCATCTGAAGAAGTTTCCTCATAAGATAAAAAAGAAAGAGACATAATCTCTCATAACTCGCTTATCGTATACTTATAGACTAATCTTTATTCATAGAAATTCTGCAAAAATGATATTTTCATATTAATTGAAAATTTTCATCTTACAAGTGTTTGTGCATCAATATCGGTATTTTTATTAACTAATGCTTCAGCACATTTAACTCGATCTTCTTGTGCACATAAATGTAATGGTGTTAAATGACATTTTGATGCTATATTTGGATTAGCATGATGAGCTAATAAAAGATGAGTCATATCCGAATGACCATCTTGACAACTTAAATGTAATGGTGTAAAACCACCAGTTGATTGTGCATTTGTATTTGAATTATATTCTAATAACATTTCAGCAATATCATGAGTATTTTTTTTTGCTGCTATATGTAATGGTGTATAACCATTACGTGCTGTTACATGTGGACTAGCAGCATGTTGTAATAAAAGTAATGCTATATTTCCATGATTATAATGAACAGCACAATGTAATGGTGTTAAATCATTCTAAAAATATATGAATTATTTAAATAAAAGATATATATATAGCTTACTTTTCCTTGACAATCTGGTTTAGCTCCTTTTTGTAAGAGAAGATTTGCAACTTTAATATTACCATATTTACTACAAATGTGTAATGCAGAAAAATTTCTCTATACAAAAAAAAAGAACAAGGAATAGAACATTAAGAAAAATATATTTAGGAAAAAAAAAGTTTTGTTTGTTTTACTTTAGTAAATAAATTTAAATTAGCTCCATGATCAATTAATAAACTAGCTATTTCTTCATGTCCTTCTTTAGCTGCTATATGTAAACTTGAATATCCATCTTTTGTTGTATTATCAACATTAGCATTAGCTTTTAATAATAAATTAACAATATCAATATTTCCCAAACGTGTTGCTAAATGTAAACATGTTTGTGCTTCTTTAGCTTTCATATCAACTGATGCACCATAATGAAGTAATGTTTGAACAATTTCAACTTGATTATTACGTGTTGCTAAATGTAATGGTGTTTCACCACGTATTGTTGTTGCATTTATATTGGCACCATGTTGTAATAAATAAACAACAATATCATGACTACCAACAAATGATGCAACATGTAAACAAGTTAAACCCGATTCAGTTTTAGCTTCTAAATCGGCACCATTTGATATTAATAATTCAACAAGTTTTAAACGATTTTTTTTACATGCTATATGTAAGCATGAAAAACCATTTAATGCTTTAGCATTAACATCAGCACGACGTTCGCATAAGAGTTTAGCAACATTAAAATTACCACAATGTGATGCAACATGTAAAGGTGAAAGATAATCCTTTAGAAAAAGAAAAAATAAAGAATATTCGAATTTAAAATAATTCTAAATCAACAAAACTAACCGAACTAACATCGTCGACAAGTGTAGATTTATAATAAAGTAAAATACGTGCAGCATCAACATGGTCACCTTGAGCAGCTAAATATATCAATAATAAATATAATTAAAAAAAAATTATTATTTTTTATTTAAGTATATTCACCCATATGAAGTGCTGAGAGACCATTCTTTGTTTTTGCACCAAATGGAGCACCATTTTCAAGTAATAAATCAACAACTTGATCGTGACCAGATCGAGCAGCACAATGAAGAGGTGCTGAAAAGTATCAATCATATATTGTTGTCTTACACAAGGGAATATATATCACTGTCAGATACCATTCAACTTCATTATTATGGCTAAGAGTAGATCTCATTAGGACTAAGATAAGGTTAAAAGAATTCAGATCAAGGCTCACTAGCAAAGACTTATAGCTCGTTTAAATGAAATTTTTACTGATGAGGTGATGCTTTCAATTGATTAATCATATTTGAATTCGGACTCTCTGTATAAGGTAGAATTCAGTAAGATATAATAAATCTTAATAGAATAAGTTCGCTTTGACCTTCTATTCAGAGTTATAGAAATTTTAGGCTTTGGTTAAGTATATACCTATAAATCGAATGGCAGTATTTCGAAATAAGATTTCGTCTACAACAGACAGATCTATTTGTCAGTAGAATGCTCTGAAATTTTCAGTTCAAAAGAATATTTCTTTGCCGAGATATGAAAGTAAAAAAGAAAAAACAGAAAATTCTAGCATATTTTGCGGAATATGAATGATTTTTGGGACAAAAATATCTCAAGAAGAAAATATTCTTTTGAGCTGAAATGTTCATAGCATTCTACTGACAAATAAATCTGTTTGTAGACGAAATTTCAGGTCGGAATACTGTCATTCAATTTATTGGTATATACCATACTAGAGTCTGAAATTCTCGTACAACGCCTATAACTCTACACAGAAGGTGTTAACAGATATATCCTTTTGAGATTTTTCATATCTCACTGGAGTCGACCTTACGCACAGTATCTGATAGCCTTCAAAGTTTCAACGAAAAAGAACATGTCTTTGTTGATATATTTGATTTTCAAATAGACTCAATTATTGTGCGTTCCTGTCGTAAACAACTGCTGCTTCTTTGCAAATTACATATTTCGAGAAAGACATATTCACTTCCGTTGAAAATTTTAGGACTATCTAATGACTATGAAATCTGCCTAAGGGCATCGTTTTTTTGTCGAATCTTTTTACGCTTGCCTTAGTCTCATCAAGATCTATTCGTAGTCATAATATGAATTTGAACAGCATCCGACAATTAGGTATATTTTCTCGTTAATTTTTGTTTTGTATGCTCAAAACATTCATTCAACTTACTTAATCCATCCTTTGTTTTAACATCAATTTGTGCACCTTTTTCAAGTAATAATTGTACTATGTTTTCTTTGCCCCATTTAGATGCTACATGAAGTGGCGTTATATTTTGCTAGAAGAAAGAAAGAAAAACATCAAGACAATATAATCATCATCGTTGTTCGTTTCTCTATAACAATGGATAATCGAAAAGTAGTTCGATAAAAAGTGTTCATTCATTTTTCAGGCTTTTTAAAGAGTCTACAGATTAAACTAGAAGAAGAATTTTATATTCTTTTCGAATATGATTTTAAAAATTTTATAGAAAGTTTGATTTAGAACAGCTGAAGTGATCTTTTAGAAACCCGTAAATTAAATTTGAACGAACTTTAATGCATTAAAAATTATTTAAAATAGAAATAAATGATACAGCAATTATTTCTCTATAAAATAGCATACTGATAATTAGTTTTCTGCACGTCATTTATCGAGAGTAAGTATTTCGGGTAACGTACATCGTGTCAATTTAGGCAATTTTCTTAATTCTAACTTAATTTCCACGTCTCCATAACATCAGTTCATAACTCTTCAATCAGAAGTGTTACAAAAATGTTGAACTCCTGTTGAAAAAGAGTACAACATTCTGATTGTAACTCAATCTACAAGTTCCTTCAAAAAAAAAACGCTGAAAAAAAAAGAATAAACATATTGCATAATTACTTTTCGATCATTTGACATTCACTCCTTCCTAGTAGATAGACTTAGCTTATTAAAAATAAGATCAGCTATATCCTATAGGCAACGTCCTAATGAATGTCTGATATAGCCTCGAGCATTTTCATACATTTCTACATTAGCTAATTTTCATTTTCATTTATCTTTTTCGTATAAACATAAATTGAAATGAATGAATCAATAAAAACATCGTCCAAAAAAAAAAGAAATAATAATAATTCAATATATACACTTCATGTCTCAAGTGCTATTTCATTTTCTCTTCAAGTATATATTTAGTTCAAATAGTAGGAGAAAAAATTCTATATAGTCTCTTACGCTTGCTGCATAATTGACATCGGCACCACGACTAATTAATAATTGTGCAACTTCTAAATTTCCATAATGAGCCGCTATATGTAATGGAGTAAAACCAGACTAGAAAAAAACAAAATAATCGTATTCATATTCAATTAATTCCGTTGTTTTCTTTTTTTTTTGAATATAATCATGCAAATTAATCTATACTGGGTTCTTTATAACACAAAAAAAAAAAATGAATAACGGTGTTGGTGGGTTTTTTATTTCTGCTGTAACTAACTATTTTTATTATTAGTAATGTGATAATTATATGTATATGTATATATAAATGCTTACTCTGCCAAGCTGAAAGAAAAAAGAAAACAAATAAATACGAAGACGAAATAAAACAACACAATATAATTTCCACCACCATCAAATAGAGTATAATCAACGACACAACAGACACCATCTAGACATTTAGAAAACAAACCTTGGTTGTACAGTTAACAAAACCTCCTCCCTATTGATTTGGATATGTTGTTTTTTTTATAGAAAATGAATTTTTTTTTTTCTTTATAAATCAATACAAACCTTATAATTAAGATCCGGCTGATTGTCGCCTTGTAATAATAAGGCGGCTGCCTTGGTATCATTTTTTTTTGCAGCTATATGCAATGCAGGTAAACGAACTTTTGAACCTTTCGAATCATTTTCTAAAAGAATAGCAACAACTTTCTCATGACCTTGTTGAAGACTAACGGCCAAAGGTGTAAATCCATCCTAATTATAAACAAAATTATGCATAAAAAAACAAACTTCAAAGAAAACAAACAGCAATGTTACCTCAGTTGCTAAACTTTGATTTGCGCCATTAGCGAGCAGAAATTTAACGACTTCGATATGATTCTCTTCTACAAATTAAAAATTATTAGATCATTTTTTTTTTCAATATTTTAATTATAAACATACGTGCAGCCATATACAAAGGAGAGAATCCGTTTTGTGATTGACAATTAATATTAGCATTATGTTTAACTAAAAGTTTAACAACTTCTTCTTGACCAGCTAATGATGCAATATGAAGAGCTGTATTTCCTTTCTATATAAACAAATCAAAATATGATTAATGAATTATTATTATCATTGATATTGTTATTAAAGACCTTCGTTGCTGCATTGACATTGGCACCACGTGAAAGAAGTTCTTGAACAATATTTACATGACCCTCCCTTGATGAAATGAAAGATGATCATATTTAAACAAAAAAAAAAAAAAAAAAAAAAGAAAAATTCTTCAACATACTTTGATGCTAAATGTAGTGCATTTAATCCATTCTGAATGAGAGAAAGTGAAAACAAACAAACAAACTTTTGTTTGTCTTTTAAACAAAAAAAAAAAGAACAAAAGTTTACATACAGCATTACTTGTATTTATATCAATTGATGAACGAAGGTATTCCAAAACCTTCTCAAGATTTCCTGCTCGCGCTGCTCGTAAAAAGCCCGAATTTCCATCAGACTAGAAAATGAAATTAATTTAATTTTGTTTTTGAATTACATCATTTATGATTTGAAAACAATAAAACTTCAATTCGTTTTTTTTTTTGTTATGTGTTTTTGTCTTTTGTATTCAAAATTTACTTTTATTTCATTTACGATCAAAATTGATATATCATAACTACTATAACAATCAACTGTGTCAATGAAAAAAGAACATTGTTGCTTGATTATGTAATCTGACAATCAATGCAATAATCAACTTTCTTTTACTATATACGTCAACACACACAAACATTTCAGTAGACGTAATTGATCTTCATTCTCTGACACTCATTTTTCTATTAGTTTTTTCTTGACCTAACCTATAAAACAGATCTATGAAGGCGAAGAAAAAGAAGAAGAAGAAGAAGAAGAAGAAGAAAAAGAAGAAGAAAAATATCTGACATATTCATTCTTATCTTGCACAAATTTATTCTCATGCCAATTCATCGGTAACTTCCCTATTGACCTGTCTGTGCATCTTCTATCCAACCATATCAAATGAGTAAACAAATCAGAAATTATCGATGAATAAAAAAAAATCCTGAATAACGCTATTTCCTTATTTATTATTAAACAAGAAAAGAAAAGAAAAAGGGAGGTAATCATTTATCATTAATCGGTACAACAAGGTCTCAGATGATTATTCGAACTTGTAGAATACAGTAGTTCTCAAAAGACTAGAACTTGTTACTATTTTTGTTTATCTGTTTGATATTATTTTAATATTACTCACGAAGGTGCATCGAACTTTATTCGACAAATGTCGACCCATAACAGCAATCTTCTCTTGAATGAAAATATCGGTTTTAAATCAAGATGTACTGGCTACTAAAGGCCACGTTGTGTCGTCGTAATAAGATAGTAGTGAATGACACGACACTCTCCAAGAAAGAGAGAGAGAGAGGGCGAAGAAAGATGAAAGAAAGGCACAAGAAGAAACTAGTGCATAATCAAGATAATTCTTGATTTTCTTTTATGCTGATACACCCAGTATCTCCTTTTTCTTTTTTTCCTCTCGTTTTATATATATATATATACAAAAAATATATATATTCTTTGATTGTGTATATTTATGTACGTTGCAGTACTAACCAACAAGCAAAAGAAGAGAAGAGGAACATTCCCGAAAATACAACTAACCCAGCAGGATAAAGAATAGTTGTAGTAGGAAAAAGGAAACAGAACAAACAATCAATAGAAACAGCATGGTTACTAATTGAACCCATCAATGATCGGTCCTTTCCTTTATCTTATATATTCTTCTCTCTCTCTCGTCTATCTAAATTCGTTCATCATATATCCCCGATTGATTGATTGATTGAGTAGACTATAATATAAAGGCTAGAGTAATAAGTATTAATAAGAAAAGAAAAAAAAGCGGATATATATAACCGACGGTTAAAAAGACTTGTCAATGAAAAACTAATAAATACTGTCCTTCGTATGCAAATAAAACAGAAAAGAAAAGACTAACATATATTTAGTTCTTTTGACTGATTAAGAAACAAAACAAAACAAAAAAAAGAAAATGTAAAATTATCAGATTAAATACATATATATATATTTTAAAAAAATTTCCACATACCACAGTCATTTTGCATGGAATGAAATAATCGACATTTGTAGGTTTCTTTTTCGCACGCTTCTCCCGTGTTCGCAGGTAGAGAAAAGAAAAGATTAAAATATGATGAATAAAAAGAAGAGAAATGTACGTCTTAATGTATGCAACTCTAGAAGCAAACAATCAGTGTAACAAGCAAGAGGGAGAGAGAGAGAAAAAAAAAAAGAAAAGCAAGACTGAAAAATTGTGGCAGCATCGCTCGTTAACCAGCCAGACAGACAAAGAATCAACGGCGTGTGGACGCGACTAGTGTACACGCTTCACTATTTTTTTTTCTGATGCCCGTGTTATTTTTGTATTCTTCATTCGTTCTCTTCTTTGTTAGGACGCACTTTTTTTTTCTTGCTGGTAAAGCGTGCATTTCCGTTTTTTTTCTTTTTTTTACCATAAAGAAATTGAACTAAATGCATGTGTAACATCTGGCTCGACTAACAGAATGAGAAAGATAGAAAGCAAAAAAAAGAAAGAAGTTGTCTATACTAAAAAATGATAGAAGGATGCAACATCTGTCTCCGAAAAAATGAAGGAAACAAAATGTTAAATATTCAATTGTATGATAATGAGTTGTAACGACAAAAATACAAGAGAAAAAAATCAATCATTTTAGTTTTTTTTTTGTTGGCATTCAAGATAAAAGATTGATATATAGAAAAGAAAATGTTTGTTTGGTATTCATTTTCTTTTTTTTTGATTTAAGAACAATTATTTATAAGTACATGACGAAGATTGCTGCTTTTTTTTTATCGAGAGCGGTTTTTTTTTCTATTTTGAAGAGCCATTGAAAATCTCAACTGACTCGTCGTTCTGTTTCGCCGCTCAAATATATATATATATATATATAATATATATATAAGCATTGAGAGATGTAAAATGCAAATGTGATGCGTGCACATGCATCTATGCATGGACATCGTCATGGGAAATATTTTTTTCTACGTTGTATGCGAACAGAAAACAAATGACAATGATGAGACTATAGTCTTTTTCTCATGCTATTCTCATATAATAGAATTAGTGATATGCTCATGAAAACAACACTATTGTTGAACTCATTAAATAGATCGTGTTTAAAAGCTGTGTAATTTTTTTTATACAAAACAATATGTATACACACACACATATATATATATACATATATATATATATATAATAAGACTTCATTTTCTCGTTTACTTATTTTTACTCATATATTGACAATAATAAAAAAGAAGTCATCAAAATGTTCTATTATAGGCGTGAATACACTCGAATGTGTGATGTAATAAAAAATGAAAACTATATCAAGTAACGTATCAGCTATATGTACATCTATTTCATAATTGTCCAGAATTGCGAGAGTTCAATCTATACTTATAGTTTAATAACCGACGAAATATGCATACATATATATATATATTTATATATATATGTATATGTGTGCACTTATTCTCACTTGATAATGATGATGATATGGGTTGTTGGTTTCAGATAATGAAGAAAGTTTTATTGTTGATGGACGGGTTATTGATACTCCAATATTTTCTTTTGTTGATATAGTAGACATATTCGTATGCCAGACAAGATTATTCGTCAGCTAGTTAGTTAGTTAGTTAGTCAAAAATACATAACAATAGTTGTTTTATTATCTTTAGAAGTGTAATCAGAGACGATCTGACATGAAAAAGAAAAGTAGTTGATGGAAAACAAGTAATTTTTCTCTATCGTTCCGTTCTTCGACTATTCGAATAGCGATGTTGCTTAACGCTGTGAAACATCGTTAATAATCATCCGTCATCAACCCTTGATATAAGATAAGCAACGGCTAGTCGCAAGACGGTTTTTTGCTTCATTGTTTTGCTTATTCATCATTTTTTTTTTATCTTTTTTTTTCTTTGCTCTTAAACTTCCCTGTTGGATTAAGGAGTTGTTGTTAAGAACCTCAGGAACGATGTTCCGGTTGCATCGAACAGTTACTAAAATAACAATTGAAGTGGGAGTCAAAAAATGAAGCATGATGATGAAGATTACAATACAGCGTGATGATGAAGAGAGGAAATAATGACTAGCAAGCAATAACCCACATAATTTCATTACAACCTCTTTCTTTATTATTTGGTTATAGTCAGAAAAAAAAGTCTATTGATCGAACGATCATTTCTCTTCCATTCAATTAGATATAGGAGGAAAAAAATCGAAAGGCAGGAGGTTAAAAAGAATATTTTATTTAGAAAAATAAATATTCTGATCTGCACCTCCCGATAGGATCAATTATATCAATGGAACACTTCGAACTATAAAGAGAAACCTAATAAATAAGTCCAAATTCCATCAAGACGATTATCTTGAGAGACATATGTGACGATATACAAATGCATGCATGCGTACATTAAATTAGCTATTGTCACTTACTGTTGATGAGCTTGATTTCGAGTGGGTCATCTATTCGAATAAGTAGAATAAACTGCAACGTTGATATTTTAAATGCAGCAAAAATGATCGACAATGTCGTATATGCACATTTCATTGAGTACAGACAATTTAGTTCTTTCTTTATACTTAGTGAAGGTAAAAGCGAATAGAGAAAGAAAGACAAAGAAAAAAATAGACTGGCATATGTATATATGTATTGAGCTACGATCGCTCTCTCTTTTTTCTATGTCAGTATTATTTACTAGGATGTCTCATTTGCGAATTCTCTCTCTTTTTTTTGTGTCCTTTCCTTTCCTATAGCAAAATGAAGCGAATATACTTCTTTTCTTGCCAATAATCCTTCAAATATAATGCAGATGATGTAGCGAATAACAGAACATGATATACAAGGCGATGCATACGAGTAGACTCACATGCAGAGAGGATCATGTCATAGAGCAACATCATCAACAAAAAAAAAAACGACCTACGAAGAAAAAACTGACTCATCTGGAAAAGGGCAATAATGGTTTTTCTATGCGTGAAAAAGACAGCAAGACAAACACCTAATTGGACGACCCCACATTTATATACAATCATTTCATACGAAGGACTATCATCAATCAATCAACTAATATGCCGCGTATATATACATCTATGTATATGTATATATGTTCGTTTAGTTCGTATACTACCCGTAACAATACAATCTGCATATTGACAATTGTCAATAACAATATAAATTAAAAATAAAAGATACGAATGAAATATATATGATAAATATTAATTATAAACTATTCAGTCTACCCAAATTAAGACAGTCTATAGAGTTTCAAGTATTATTTCCGATAATATCGGAGATAATCATATCTAATTAATGCACAAAAAAAAAAAAAAAAATAAAATAAATCATTGAGAATTTGTGCATCTAGTTATTGTTCTTATTTTATTTAATAATTCTATTATTTTATCTTGATTTAATTCTATAAATAAAAAAAGAAAACAAAAATGCCAGAAATGACAGTCAGACTCGATTATAGACATTTGATTAAACCCAGTTGTTTCCTTTTTTTTTGTTTAATACAAATGAGAAACTCATAGGAAATCGATCCAACAATAGTAACATAAATTCTAAATCAGAAATTAAAATTAAAATTCTTAACACGATCTTAATATTCTATTGATTATTATTATTAATTGTAAATATTCATTGTAAAAGATATTTCTTTAAATTATTTTCAAAATATTTGCCGTTGGATTTAATTTTCAAGGCAATTTTACAAAGAAAAACTACAGATTACCTCCAGCAAAATAAATAACTCGTATTCATTTTATGTTCTAAAATTCATTGTTAGTTTTATGATTCATAAATTTATGTTACTCATTTTCTAGTTAACAGAAGGTTTTTAAAAAATATATCTATATATATATATATATTGCCTGTTGATGTTTGACTATGCGAATGTTTTGATCTAGTCAACTTTACAATAAATCAATTAACAAACGAACAGAATTTACATGTTTTTCCAATCAAGGTTATTATTAGAACAAAGAATATTTTGAAGTATACAGTAATATACTCTGATAAATATGCTTTTAGTTTCAGTTTTGAATGATATTTATTCTATAGAAAGGAATCCGTTAATTCTAAAATTAAATATATTTTTAATATTATTATTCAAGCTGATGTAAGCAAGAACACATGAGACTTATATATCCAAGGAGAATAGAATACCAAACGATAAACAAATGGATTATAGACTCTTTATATAGATTAACATATGAATATGCGACCTTAATATAAAATTTCAATATGTTTGAGAACCAAACTATTACTCTTTTAAAAAAACAACTTATTCAATCTCCTTGATATATAATCAAGTTATGGAAAAAAAGAGATGTATTCATTCAATAAATAATTAAACAATGACATTCAAGATAGTATTTGCAAAAAAAAAGAAAACAGTAAAAAAATAATATTATTTTTTTACCACTAAATTGTTAGTTGTGGTTGTTGGAGCAGTAGTTGCCTGCTGTTCTATGTTCATGACCATGGCCAATGCTGTGTGCTACTGAAACAAGCAAAAGAAGCAGATGAAATGACGTGCCGCTCTTTTTTCTCTCTCTTCGATGTCGCCGTTTTGTTTCCACTTTTCTACTGTAATAGAAAAAAAAAAATTCTTCTTTCTCTTGTGTGCATCGACCGTCTTCTTTCTCTTTTTCCTATACTCTTATCATATATTGTGCAGAGAACGTTTGTTGCTGCGTTCAATCCATAATTCATCTGAGACACAAAAAGAACGGAATGGAATGCGCTCGCAAATAAAAAAAAAAGGCTAAGAAAAAAAAGTCGAATGCAAAACGACTTTTCAGCTTGTTTGCTATAACTGTGTAACACGCTCTATGATCATTATTGGAGTGCAGTTCTCATTTTTCTTCTCTTTCTCGCCATATAAACAGGAAAAACTCCGACGAAAGACCGTTCGTTCGAGTGCAAAGTCAATATATATATATATATATATTCATATAAACTTACTAAATTCGTTTGTTATATATTTGTTGTATAAGAAATCAGATTAGTTATAGAAGTCTGATTAATATAAATCGGACTGGACCACATCAAGAACAAAATGATTCTTATTCTTTTTTTTTTTTTTTTATTTTGTTTTTCGAAAGAAACAACTGTTTAACAAAACACTGTTAAAATCATTGCTTTTAACAAACGAAAATTAGCCTAAAAAATACTATGAGGAGAGTGAAAAGTTCTTTTTTTTAACGTTCCTCTTCTGCACGCCATTCGACTTTTTTACGGTGACTTTCAAGTGCATCGCGCAGTTTTTTATCGATCATGTCTTCAGTTAATGTACCATCTTCAGATGCATAAGCCGATGCCTACAAAAACAAAACAAAAAAATAGTTGATATTGTAAAAGAAGATGAACTAATAAACGAACTTGACAACCAGCTAGTAATTTAGCTATTTCACGGCCAGAAAATCCATCAGTACGTTGTGCTAATACTTCACATTTTTTTTCAAAATCAAATGGACCAATTTTAATTGGACTAAAAATAATTTTTTTTTTTAAATTAGAAAAACAGAATTTTTTTGGTTTTTATTTTTCTTTTGATTATAATTTACCGACGACGTTCTGCTGATTTTAAAATATATGTATCAAAATAGAGATAAGTCATACGACGACGTTCAGCTAAACTTGGTAAATTAAATTGTACCATTTCATCAAGACGATCATTAACAGCCCAATCAAACTGCTCAGGTTCATTACTTGCCAATACTAGCATAAAACTATCAAAGAAACAGTATTAAAAAAAAATAAGGTTGCATTAACAAACAAGTCATACAAATTGATGGATTCATGAAATCATATATGATATTTCGTGTTTAAGTCCGTCAGAAAACATGTATTCTAAGGAATCTTAGAAATAATAGAGTATTAGAATTAGAGAATGAGAGGATAGATGAGTAGTTTTTGTTTCATTTTGTTAATGTCATTCTATGATCAACTGTTCTCCTACTATAGTGAATTTAATCGATGTAATAGAAAAAAAAAGAACTTGTTAGACTGATTATGAAAAGAAAGTAAAATTGATTTTGTCAATCTATACAGAAAGTACTCAGGAAATGTGCTACCGTTTCTTAACGACGGAAAAAAGAGAGAAAAATCATTTTCTTCAACGGAAATAAATCTTTCCGGAATTGAGAAAAATGCATAGATCACTGAATAAATCATACAGACTTTACCAATATTATTGGAAAAGACTTTTATTTTCGATTAGATTAATATGAGAGCATCTTTTTCAACAAAAAAAAAGAAAAATTGACTGTTTTAAGACTCATTGAAAAATGATTATACAATCTCGTATCAATACATTTAATCTCCATATTATCCATGTCCTTGATTGCAACAGAAAAAAAAAGGGTAAAGGAGAATATAATCGATTAGCCAAACTGTTTTTTTTTACTTTTCTCTTTCTTGCTCTTGGCAGAACAATTAATATGTGATGCAGAAGTCTTCAGCATAAAAATAGCCTATTCTATTTCGAGCGTAAAGACATATGATCAGTTGATTATTTGTTGTATGCGCTTTTGAGTATGAGGCACTACTTTCTATCTCTATCTGAGATTAGCAATGATTGTAGAAGATACAAGAGAAGTTACTGTCAAACGCATCTGTAATTTCAGTCTCCGAATTATTTCATGAAACTTACTGGAAATTATTTTAAGCTTAACAACAAGAAAAAAAAAAGAAAGCTTTCATCTATTATGCATTAAACGAATATTCAAAAAGGTAGAATAAATTAGTCGGTAGAATTCTAAAAGGTATTCGGTAGTAATCCTTGTTTTCATTCGAAACAGCAAGAAATATAATCAAAGAAGTGTAGTAACAAAAAAATAATTTCTATTTATTCTAAAAACACTGTAAAACTAATAATGATTTACGTCCTATTCATCTTTTAAATCAATCCTATTGACAAAGCAAGAATTTAAACGCAACGGGACATCGAAAAATAATTTGACAAAATATTCATTTACTTTTCAACTTCTTGAAGAAGCCTGAAGAAATTTGAAAGTATTGGTTGAGAATCGAATTTTTTTTTTTAAGACTTTGTAATTTAAGAGTTATGGAGCTAATTTTTTTAAGCCTGTAAATTGAACTTAAACGAGCTTTAGCACTTCAAAAATTACCGCAAGTAGAAACCAAAGTTATTTCAAATACAGCGAGTGAAAGAACAAAAATTTCTTTATACAATGCTATACTGATAATTAGTTTGCTGACAGACATTTGTCATCAGTAAAGATTTTCGGCTAAGTACAGTGTTAATTTTCTCGATTTCTATGAACAGCAGACTCGACCATTAAATCGGTAATATAACATAAGTAGTAAAAAAAGACTATTACTGCAAAAAACGTCAATTTTCTTCGTGCAAACTTAATTTTTGCCTTTCCTAAAAGCTCAATTGAAATTCCTAGAGACATGTTGAATCTTTATTTGGAAACAATGCAAAAATTTAGATTCAATCTCAATGTTTTCGAATTTCTGCAATCTTCATCTAGAGGCTAACACATGAGTATGCATTTAGTCAAATGACTGTTTGATAACAGAAGAATTAAGCCAAAGGTCAAGGAAATAGTTGTATGATTGAGTAGAAGATATTCGCAATGAACTGAGAATTATATGATGAGATGAATTATATTAGCCTTGTTAAAAATAGATTTTTGTAATATGTTCTCGACTTTTTCTAACAAAGAATTATTTTCTATCTTTTAAGATTTTTTCAGTTTCCAAAAAAAAAAATGTTCCATAAGATAAAAGCTTTGACAAGGCATACTTAATCAATTAAGTATTGCTTCGCTAACAGTGGAAAGTTTTGTACTGTTAATAACAAACATTAGGCATATTTGAGACAAATTAAAGCTCTTACTTTCAAAGTCAAAAAAAATTAAAATATGACTTGCCCATGGCATAAATCGAGTAATATAATGGATTTTCGAGGCATTTAAAGTATATATAAAGATACCCACAAGTAAAAATTTTAACTCTATTTGTTTTTCTTTTTTCGTAAAGGTTGGTCGTCAAGTTCCATAAGAAAAATCATGTTTCAAACTTTAAAAAAAAATGAATAAAAAAGATTCAAAGTGTACCCTTATGTTCAAATATAAGGAAACATTCTAACTTGTATGAAATATTTTAGAATTTGTTCTTAAGTGTGAAACACATCTTTTCTTATACAACTCGGCGAGTTCTATCTAATAATGAATAATATTAATATTTTTACTTGTGAATGTCCTACATATACTTCAAATACCTAAAAAAATTCATTGTCTCGTTCGGTGCACATCACGAGTAGCTCATATTTTAAATTTTTTAGTTTGACAGCAACATCTTTAAATTTATCCAAACATGTTCAATGTTCTTTTCTAACTAGAGTTCATCGCGTTCATCTCAAATCCGTTCAGATGGGAAAATTTCGAACTTGATGAACTTCATTGTAATATCTTTATTAAATAATGAATCTTTTAAATATAAAGGGTGCCCTATAATAGATGATGATACATTGTCAATTATATTTTTCATACTTCTTCTTGATTTAGAGAGCTGACATTTTTATCACATATATATCTAATGAAGATCTTTTATTTCTAAAAGTTTCAACTTTCTAGTTAAAACTAGTGGTGAAATGTATCGAGAAGATTGAAATACATTAATTTTCGTTTTTTTTTTTACTATGAAAATATTTCAAGGTACTTCCATGGGTAGTCAACCAAAAAAATCACAAAGTATTCAGAAAATTTTCTTTTATATCAAACTTTGCAGAACTTTTTCCACTGACTATTTTGGTAAAAAAATTTCGAATCTCATTGAGAAATGACGATGTTATAGACAAAATACTAAACACTATAAAATGTAAACAAAAATTCGATTCATGTATCTCAAAATGGCTATATTCTGGAAAAATGTGACTGTAGAGGAAACTTTGCTTAACAAAATCCTATAGTCGGTTTCTTAGATATAAGCGAATGGGATAAATAAATCTCGGTTAAACATTGTATACGATATTCCTATGAAAAAGAATCTAACATCTTGTGTTTTTACGACAAATGTTTTGACTATAATATCGTCATTTCTTAATGAAATTAGAAAAGTTTTTTTTTACCAAAGTGATCAGTAAAAAAGCTCTATAAAGTTGAATACGAAAGAAAATTTTCTAAATACTTTGTGAGTTTTTGGTTGACTACCCATGAAACTACTCTGTAATATTCAGTACGAAAATTTATATATTTCAATCTTGTCGATGCATTTCATTACTAGCTTTGACTAGTGAGCTGAAACTTTCATAAATGGAAGATCATGATTAGATATATATGTGATAAAAATGTCAGCTCTCTAAAT